AGCAATGACCCTTTAAACTTCTATCTTCAAAGTTGCTAGCATTGTTTCTGGTCACGTCATTTATTTCCTCACTCTTCCTGTAATAGTAAATGGTGAACTTTCCCTGTGCAGTTACCACTGCACTTTAATTCATTCACCCATTCACCTTCTCACCAAGTCATGAGCTCGAAGACTTGGGGTGAACAATAAATTCTGCATGTCATTCTCCCACCGGGCTATATTTTCAATGTTGCCATTTTAATCTAAATATTGGAATGTATGTATTGATTCAACACAATTCTATTAAAGTATTGATTGTTGTTTTAATATAAATGTGTGCTTGTTTCAACTCATTTTAACAAATTGTTACAAGTGTATGTTGCTTTTTAATGGAAAATTGTCGGATCTGTTCAGTGTTTGTCACGGGAGTCGCACTCCAACACGCTGGAAAAAGGAAACCCACAACAGGTGGATCCAAAAGAAGTATTACAGGGCGTTAGAATGGCTTTATTAACGCATTAATATAGCGAGAATCAAGGTGAAGGACACAGAAATACACAGAGTCAGAATACCAGAAAATCACGAGTCAAATACCAAGCCAGGTCAGGATACCAAAATCACGAGTTGTAGCGGAACCCCTTTGGCTGTCCCATCTAATTCCTTTTATTGTTGGCACTGCAGAGTTTTCCCTGTGCCCGGATTATACAGAATTGCATGCATATGTAGCCACACTTTGTTCGGTAGAAGGATATACCAGCTTGCAGGTGAACTGCTATATTCACCATACGAACAAAGTACCGAATCACCGGACCACCCTGGTGAGAAGAATGGATGTGATTTACCTCCCTGATCGCTTGTTACATTCCCTTGAACATTCTGCTATATTTCATTTTGGCAGCCGAACACGTGGCGGCGGCCATCTTAAACCCGCGAACAGCGGTGTTTTTTCGTCGAGTGTCTGGAACTCAAAACGGACACTCGGCTAAACGAACACCGCTAAGACCTCCAGGGCTTCAGAAAGAACTAAGGGAAATGCACAAATGGCCTGTCGTTCGGTAGGATGAATCCCACGAACTAGGGGATTCATCCGGTTACCAACTTCATTGTGGATGGTATAGCCTTTCGGGACTTTTGAGGCACAAACGGAGACTGACCGCAGGGCCACATCTCATGGAACTATTTTCGGCTGCTTTACCCATGCGGTCGGTCAAAACTTTACCTTCTCATAACTCCAGAACCCCTGGTCTGATCTGGGTGATTTTTGGATATGTTCCTCGCCCAGATCAGGTGTACCCAACATATTTGGGGTACATCCAAGAATTGGGGAAAAGTGTGCACTGTATAATTATGTTAACTGTTAATCAAAGGGGAAGAGATGTGTGGGAGGTAACGCCTATGGGATTGGTTACTGTACTAATTGTGGTGAATCCCTCCCTTGCATGGGAGAATCTCATAAAAGCAGGAATGTTGCCATTAAAAGTCAGTTCTACTCCTGATACTGTGTGTCGTCCAGTGATTGGGAAGGGTGACGGGATACTTTTGGATTTTATTTGCTGATTGTGCTGGATACTCTCTTGGATTTATTACTTGTTCCTGCATTCTTTTAATACATGAGTGGAGTTAAGCTGTGGGAAATCAGCTCTCTGCTACACGAGTCAAATAGGAAGCCGGGTCAGGTGCCAGAAATCACGAGTCAAATACAAAGCCAGATCAGGATACCAGAAATCACAAGGTCAATAGAAAGCCAGGTCTAGATACCAGAAATCACAAGGTCAATATGAAGCCGGGTCAGGATACCAAAATCACGAGTCAAATACGAAGCCGGGTAAGGATACCAGAAATCACACGGTCAATAGGAAGCCGGGTCAGGTGCCAGAAATCACACGGTCAATAGAAAGCCAGGTCTAGATATCAGAAATCACACGGTCAATAGGAAGCCAGGTCTAGATACCAGAAATCACACGGTCAATAGAAAGCTAGGTCTAGATACCAGAAATCACACGGTCAATAGAAAGCTAGGTCTACATACCAGAAATCACACGGTCAATAGGAAGCCAAGGTCAAACACAGAAAATCATTAGGGACTCTTTAGGAGCACAAAGCGAGGATCTATACAGAAACCACAATAAGGCAATGAATGGGGGCTAAAACATGCCTTAGATAAGCTTACCTATGTTCTCCAAATAGATTAGGATCGTGGTCACTTTAAGAACGGGCGTGAGGTCACGCCTACTTTCTATTTATAGATGTCCTGTCGCGTGGATCGGTTAGACTGCGCGGCAGGAGGTGGGGAGTGCACTTGAGTGTTCCGCGCAGTCGGAGGAGGGCTACTTGGCTCGAGGGAGGTAAGTACAAGCTACAATGGTAAAATCAGTAAACAAAAATTTCAGTCCATTGTATCAAAAAAAACATTGAAAGAAGACATAAATTTCCTATTCAAAGTCGTTTCTATACATTGTGTTGCCAACTATGTTCCAAGGAGAGCTAATGCACTCAAACCCTTTCAAACCAGATGGTGATACAGACCGACAGTTATACCAACTGGATGACTGCTCACTTCCTTCACTCAGCCTGTCCAAAACAAAATGTCCGTTCTTCCTCCATTTAGTGTTGCTACTCTCTGGTCTGTCTACCTTCAAGTCAATGGCGCCACCATCACCGCTACCTCGCTGCGTAGGTGTTCTCTTGACCTCTTCTTGACCCCCAATCATCAAATCCTGCCGCTTCCAACTCACTTCTTCAGGAAGAAGCCCCCAGTAAATACTTTTCTCACAGCCTTCTTTTCTATTCTGCCCTTACCTTCTCCCTCTAGCATGTAAGCTCATTGAGCAGGGCCGTCAAACCCTCTGTTCCTGTGTGTCCAACTTGTCTGGTTACACCTACATGTCTGTTAGTCCTCCTATTATACAGCGCTGTGGAACTTGTTGGTGTCATATAAATAATAATAGTAATACGGACAGACATTGAAATAGACAAAGATAAAGACAGACAGACAGTGATATAGAGAGACAGACATTGATATAGAGAGACAGACAGTGATATAGATCATGGTACGAACAGTGGTAAAGACACATAATGTGATACATACAAATAGACTGTGATACAGACAGGCACTGATAGAGACAGACCGTGATACAGACAGTGGTAGAGACACATACTATGATACACACAAATAGACTGATACAGACAGACACTGATATAGACAGACCATGGTACAGACAGTGGTAAAGAACCATAATGTGATACATACAAATAGACTGTGATACAGACAGACAGACAGACACTGATACAGACAGACAATGGTACAGACAGTGGTAGAGACACATAATGTGATACACACAGACATAGACTGATACAAACAGACCATGGTACAGACAGTGATAGAGACACATAATGTGATACACACAAATAGACTGATACAGACAGACTGATATAGACAGGCCATGGTACAGACAGTGGTAGAAACACACACACTGTGATACACACAAACAGTGATACCAATGTAATACAGACAGACGTTGATACATACAACATTCATCAAAGTGGTAACAAAGCTGTGAGTTCTGATCAATGGTTATTCCTAATGATTTAATACAATGTAACAATATGTGTACTGACTGCTCATCGTTAATTCCAGGTAAAGTGTGAATCCCTCCTGGGTGGCCCCAACACCAGCAGACCCGTCTTATCAACTTATAGGGAAATAGAGATGGCACTACCCTTCTATTATTTATAAAAACACACTTTATTCTATATAATGTTCCAAAATAAACAAACATAATACAATATAAAGTTCAAAAGCAAGATTTTGCTCTTTATATTTCTGTCTGATGTTCATTTGGAAGACAGACATAGGAAAAGTTATTCACTTAAAGTGTGAATTGCTGCAGAGCTCCCCCCCCCCCCCCCGTGTTCTGACATTAATCACGTTTACTCTGTATAATAAAAAGGTCCTAACTTCAGCCAAGTTTCTTTCCTATTTACTTCATAAAACACAATACAAAAATTGGACAAAAGGTCCCCAAAGAGAACGTCAACATGTCACGTAGTATAGGGGAGATGTCTCACTGCACCACCTTAAGACCAAACGACAAATGTAAATCTATAGTAAGAAAGAAGAGAGATGGCACTCACAAGACGGGTATGAAGTACCAACAATTGTGGTGCACTTTTAGCTGATCCCAGGACACACTCCCAACATGGATGTCGGCACCAATAAGGGTGTTTCCCATGAAAATCTTTAGGCAGAGGAGAGACAACGCAAAGTGGGCATTAAAAACAACATTGTGCCGGCCTGCTGCCCACAACACCAGTCTACTTAATAAGGATGCTAAGCAATGGCAATTTACTTAACGTGAGCCAGTCATTACTCACCTCCAGTCCAGTGCCGCTGTGTCTCAACCAGAGGTAGAAGTTCCGACCTCTCTTCTGATCTCTCTGCTTGGAGATACTTCCCTCAGTGATGCCAACCTGCTTGCTTCCTTCCCAGACTGCTCTAACAGGTAATGCCAACTTGCTGAAACACGTAATGCCAACCTTAGTAAACAGATAATATCAGCCTGCTGAAATGGATAATGCTATCCTGTTTTTAATAGATAATGCCAGCCTGCCATATCCAGGTCATGCGGCTTGCTGAAATGGACAATAGCAACCTGGTCAAACCATATGATGCCATCTAACACAGTGACATGTCTGGGTCCTCCACATAACTGGTTAACCCAGCCTTTTTACAAGAGATCAAAAAGAACGAGCAATCAAACAAAATATGAAATTATATTTTTACTGAATGACATAAATAGGGCTTTAGTCAGCCCATAAGGCCATGCTGTGTGATGTCTAACCCTTCATCAGCATGCCCCAATATCAGTGGTTCCCAAACTAATCTGCAAAACAGACAGAATATCTGCATTACTGGAGCTTGTTCTTCAATTTACAATGTACTTTACGGGCCCCTGTGTGATCCGGGCTCCAAATATACACCGAAACAGGAAATTGATCAGAAGGACATTGCTTAAATAGCCAGCTTATTGTCCCTGACCACAAATAAATATATACATATATATACATACATATATATATATATATATATATATATATATATATATTTATTTGTGGTCAGGGACAATAAGCCGAGTTATGTTAATGGTGCACAAGTCGGTTGTGGTGTGCCGAAACCGACATTCGGCTCGGCCTGTAAAAAGAGGAACCGGCCCACCAATTTAAATGGCTTGCTAAAGGGAGTGGTGGGTGAGGTGAACCAGACAGTCTCAGCAAAGAGGGAGTGGTGACCTGTGCATTTATAGCAATATCCCCTGCCACAACTACAGGATCTGCCCACAGGCTCAGCCTTTCAATTTGTGGTCAGGGACAATAAGCCAAGTTATGTCAGTTGTGGTGACCGAAACCGACATTCGGCTAGGCCTGTAAAAGAGGGCAAAAAGTTAATAGTTTAACACGTGTCTACATTACGCCATCAATACTTTACATTTTATCAGCATTTAAAACCATACCTGAAAGAGAAAATTCATTAGTGGGAGATGCTGCGTAACACCAAGATATTGGTTGACCTATGTTATGCCAAGTGGTGAAACAATTAAGCTACATTGGTGACTTGGGAACCTAACTAGTTGCCAAGTGGTGATGAGAGGCTGTACCTATGATTTGACCCGCCCTCAGTGAGGATTTAAGATATTTAAAATAAGTTGGCAGTGACAGATGAGGCCCTAACTGTTTTTGCCAAGAGGGCGGAGATGTGAGGCAGTAACTATGATTTGGCCCGAGGGGCGAACACCTCCGTACTGGAAAATTGGAGTTGGCCTCGTGAGACAGCTAAATAATGGCACAAGAAGCCGAAAACTACTTATGGCCATTTAGGGTACCCTAACAGCCAGACCAAAGCTAAAGATAAGTTCTGTAGAGCGAGTGGTGGTTGTAAGAAGGGAGGTAGTATCTTAATCCAGTCACTTACGTGGTAACTTGAAAAACGTAAATGCAAAAGAATAAATGATAAGACATACACCTGGCAGATAAATAAAAGCTGTGACGGAACGCTGGCACTCCGACTGAGTACCTCCGCCAATCGATGCTCCTAGCGCCTGCCGAGGACTCCGAGAACTCCAACCGACACCATCAGCACTGCAGACCTCACTTCCAGCGATGCAGCTGCGACGCGGTCTCGCCGTCTAATACCCACCCTGGATCCACGACCAGTGGGTGAACCTCTCCTAAATCCAGAGAGCGTAGCAGGAACAAATCAAGCTCTTACAAGAGCTTACTCTGGGGAGTAAGTGATTATAGCAATCCCCAGAGTGTAGGTATCCCTTCCCCCAAGCATGAGCCAAGGCTTCAAGAAAGGTGCAAGTAGTTCTGCTTTATTGAGGGCTACCTGCCCGGTATTTATGCAAGTGTCCACCAGGTGGACACTCCAGTAGGGGACCTGATGGAACAATGGGACACATATTGGATATTAGCCAATCACAGACAATACAAACAAAACACTCCCACAGTGACATCACAATCCCTCGTCTCTATCCTGGAGATAATTGGGAACTAATCAAATTATCTCCCAGGACAGAGGCAAGACTCCATTAACCACATGGTTACAAAAAGACATAAAATTACACAATGTTACAATTACTACATAAAACATATACATACAACATATCCCCAGATAGCGCACATTATCTGAGCGCACATTATTACCGAATGGCGCTCAGATCACATACATACAGTTCAATCGCCATGGAGCCAAAGTCTTTTCCATAGTCTTTCATTACACGAATAGACTCCATGGCATGGCTATCTGGGGTAGCACTACTCACATACTGAAGGTCCCGAATGCCCCAGGAGAAATACACAAATAAATCTTTCTGCAGGGTAAAATACAGCTATCAGCACAGGGGCCATAGTCGGAAGGCAGGAGGCTAGCCAGTAGTCCCCTCCAGGCACAAGTGGCGAAGGGCACTCCATCACAAAAGCTATGCTAGAAGTTGATGGTAAGAATAGGTAAATAGAAAGTGGAGGGCAAAATAAAATGTTTACAGAGATCCAAAACCAAAATCCAGCCAGAGAGAGAGACCCAAGAACTTAGTGTTCATAATTCAGATCTACGACACCAACGAAAATGCAACAGAGATTGCCGGTAAGGTAGGTAAAGTAAGTGCAAGAAGCCCAGGACACAAAATACTCTATTAATATCTGTTACCAAACTAACCGAAGGAAACTGAATAGTGTTATAAATGACTCAGTTGACCATGCATGCAACCAGATATGCAATGGTCGGCATAAAGTATACCTGGTGAGACTTTACATAATGATATAGGCCTTTAAGGAGTTGGCCAGAATAATTGAACAGCAAGACCCCTGTGAAGTATATGTCAGGAGGTGAGGGTACGGTTCCCAAATTATCAAGTTCAGGATAACAAGCCGCAAGTGGCATAGTGACAGAAAGGCATAATATAAAACATAACAGTGCAGACATGGAGTAACTGAAAATTAACAGTTTTCATCAAAAGCTGGTACCGGATACCTGATTGTACAGAATTTAGGCATGAGTTCCCTCTGCACATCCTTCCACTAGAAGGACCGAAAGTGTGTATGAGAAAGAACACCCTGAAAAACCCAACCATCACATTATTCAAATCCAATAGCATACTGCAGAAAGGGAAATACCAGAACTAGCAAGTGCCTTAAGGTGGAGGTACACAGTTAAAATAGTGACAGACCGAAGAAGCCTGGATATGTTAAATGAATAGTAATAGGTACCAGGTTCTCGGGAGAGTGCCGAGAGAGGGAAAAGAATTGTGTGGGCCTAACGAGGCCATGTGTAATATTGGAATGTAGTATGAAAGGTTGTATTTCTTTGACCCTTGTGTGGCGAAACCAGCCTCGCCACTGTCCACTGGAGGAGCCTGGTTGCTCGCCTGCTCCCTTTAGACTATGGCCCGGCAGTTAAAACCTTTTATTTTCCCTGCAAAGCGTATTCATGCCTTTCTGTAGACTGTTAAAGCCATGCTACCCCAGATAGCTATGCCATGGAGCCCAGCCGTATACTGAAAGACTGTATGAAAGACTTTGGCTCCATGGCGATTGAACTGTATTTATGTGATCTGAGCGCCATTCGGTAGTAATGTGCACTCAGATCTAAGCTATCTGGGGATATGTAGAATGTCTATGTTTTATGGAATAAATGTAACTGTATGTAATTTTATGTCTTTTATTGTATTGTTACTGCCATGTGGTTAATGGAGTCTTGCCTCTGTCCTGGGAGATAATTGGATTACTTCACACTTATCTCCTGGACAGAGAGGAGGGATTGTGATGTAAATGTGGGTGTGTTTTATGGTTCCCCTGTAACGATTGGTTGTACTGTGTCCCACCCTGTGGGATGTCCCCTTGCATGGGGACTTGCATAAAAGCCAGTGTGTGGCCATTACAGAGAGTTCCTGTTTTAACCCTCAAAGTGAAGTGTCGTCTCATTATTGGGGGAAGGATTTATTGTATGCTGTTCCAGTTTGACTGCTAGGAGAGTAAACCTATTCGTATGGTTCCTATTCAACTGTCTACAGCATTCTTATGCTTGAGAGGATTCTTATGCTTCTCCGGTTCGGTGGTTGTGGTGTCTGCTGCAGTGCTTGGAGTCCTCAGGAAGTGCTAGGAGCATCCTTTAATGGAGGTACCCAGTCGGGGTGCCAGGCGATCCGTTACACCTTGTATATTAGAAAATTGACGTATGTAATTGCCCAAATGAGGGGCAGAAATCGCCATAGTGCCCGTAGAGGGCCATGTGTAAATGTATTGAGTGAAGGCTTTGGGAGGGCCATATGTAGAGGTATTGTAGTGGAAGGCAGAGTGCTCAATGTTAGTCCTGAGCTGCTGGATGGAGAAATAGGGCTGTATGAGGGGTACGGATGTATGGAACAAACAAAAGAAGGATAAGCATACCGAGGTGCAGGTGTTGTGAAATGGCCAATAGTGAATACCTAGTTTTTTTGGTCCAGTCCATTTTGTAAAGCTGGTGTGACGAGACCAATCTCGCCACATTGCATTGGAGAAGCCTGGTTGCTCGCCTGCTGCCTGTGGACTATGGCCCCCATGTTAAAAGACTTTGTTTCGCCTGCAGAAAAGCTGTATTCGTGATTTTCTGCCGGTTGTTCGGTAGATTCAATCTACCGAACAACCGCACGAATTAATAGACCACCTGGGAGCTGGAGTGTGCCGGCAATTAACCTCCCTGAAGCTGCGGTTAACCGCAGCTTAATTGACAATTACTGGGTGGTCGCGGTTTACACGATGGCGGTGTTATGGAAGCTCCCCGGGTAGCCAGCGCTTGTTCTACCCAGCGGCAGGACACCAAAAGCGGACACTTTTGTCTTACAAGCCCCGCTGAGGCTGGAAGTCTGCAAACCCGTTCGGGAACCGAACAACGGAGCATCCGGGACTTTTAGTGCTGCAATTGTATTCGGTGTGCAAGTACCCAGATAGCCTGCCATGGAGCCTGTTCGTGGAAACAAAGACTTTGGCTCCATGGCGATTAAACTGTATTCGTGTGGTCTGAGCGCCATTCACTTAATAATGTGCGCTCAGACCTGAGCTATCTGGGGATATGTTAAATGTATAGTTTTAATGTAATGTGTCTTACCTGGTGTATTTTAACAGTAATGCTTGTTTTAGTATCCCCACGTGCATAATGGAGATTTGCCTTTGTCTTGGGAGATAATTGAATTACTTCTCAATTATCTCCCAGGCCAGAGGGGAGGAAGCCAGGATGCATTGTGGGAATATACTGTGACTGTGTGTCCTATTTGTCTGCTTGTCTGTCCCTTGTCACAGTCTCCCATTTGGTCCCCTAGGGGAGTGTCCACCAGGTGGGAGACCTGCATAAATATGGGCAGGTACCCCTCATTAAACAGACCACTGCTTGACCCTCAACACGGAGCCTTGTCTCGTCTTTGGGGGGATTTACTGAATGCTGATAGAGACTGATTGCTAGGAGTGTAAGCCGCTTGGATGCTTTTCCTATTCGTCTGCTAGCAGCAATTCGTATGGTTCCTGTTCGTCTGTTTGGAGGGCTATATTGGATGCCGTTCGGGAGTTTGGAGCATTCACTTATTGGCGGTTCGTGTGTTTGGT